GGCAATTCAAATGATAGTTTAGTGTGAAATATTTTCTCCTTTCATTTCTTTCTTCATGCTTCATCATTGCTGAATTTAAAAAATACTAATGATGTGATTAATAAAAACCTAGAGATGACAGCGTTTAGAGTTATTGATAATAGCTGACATTTCAAAGCACTTTGTGATTTACAAAGCTCTTTAACATAGCTTGTCTCATTTAATTATCACATTATTCCATAGAAATTAACAACATTATGCAAAATGATTCCCAGGTTAACAATAAGAAAACTGGGAGTAATTCAGCAAACTGAGTTAATAAGTAACAGAGTATTAGAAGCGAGGTATTTGAACTTTAAGATCAGTACTCTTTTCATGGCAACTTTCCCCCAGATAAGTATTAATTTTATAGCTGTATCATTTATTTGATTTTTCTAGAGATACACCACTAAATGCTATTAGTATAATCAAGAATAATATATATCTGCAACCTGACTTTTTTGTGTATTAAAAATTATTATTAGAAAAGTATTTTATATCTACAATTATTTTGCCTTAAGAAATATCCTAATCCTAAAAATATAAACATTAGCTCAAGTTCAATAAAGGGAATCTCATGTTTGTCACTACTTGCTATTTGAAAATTATCCTCAGAAGTCAAATTGAAAAACCTAGATGATTAAACACTACCATTTGGAGCAGGCTGGTAGCATGACAGACGTAGTTTGGAAAACTTCTTTCAAAACTTTATTGCAGCACTATTCACAATAGCCAAGAATGTGGAATCAACCTAAGTATCCATCAACAGAAGAATAAATAAATCAAATGTGGCACATATACACAATGGAATGTTATTAAACCATTTTTTAAAAACAGAATGAAACCCTATAATTTGCAGGAACATATATGGAACTGGAGATCATTATGTTAAGTGAAATAAGCCAGGCACAGAAAGACAAATATTGCATGTCCTTACTCACATGGGAGCTAAAATAGTTGATCTCATGGAGGTAGCAGGGAGAATGATAATTATCAGAGGCTGGGAAGTATGTGGGGGATGTAGGGTGGAAAGGGGAGATAAAGAGAAATTGGTTAATGGATACAAACAGATAGAAGGGTTAAGTTCTAGTGTTCAATATCACAGTAGGGTGACTACAGTTAACAATAATTTATCATCTATTTAAAAATAGTTAGATTTAAAATGTTCCCAACACACACAAAGAAATCATGTTTGAGGTGATCGATATCCTAAATACTCTTGATTTGATTACTACACATTATATGTAACCAAAATAACACATGTACAATTATCATATGTACAAATGTATTTGATACATATGTATCAAAATATCACATGTACAATTATCATATGTATAAATGTATGTACAATTATTAAGTATAACAAAAAAACTACTGACAAAACGGAACAAAACTTCATTCTCCATTTTCTAAGAATGTATCAGTAGAACCAGGTTATAAGGAAGCATTTTACTAAAATGTGCTGTGAAAGCACACCATGCTTAATATCCACTCAGTAAAATAAAGATTAAGCATCTAAGGATCAGGCAGCTTCCTTTCAAATCTTCCATGTCAAGTAGAGTAAAGCAAACACAAATGTTCCTTGTCTAACTTTTTCGATTTTAAGTTCTATGGAATGAGATAGATTTGAGAAACAGTCACGAACTGTTAAAATTAAAACAATAATCTGATATTTTAGTGAGACAAGATGTTTCATTTGAGTGATGCATTTTAATCCTGGCTTCTTTTAACATTAAGTTAATAATCTGCATGAGTAATATTTTTTTATATTATTGCTATTAAACATAATATTCAATAAACGACCCGTACTTAAAAATGACTATTCAATGTCACTGGAGCTAAACTTATGGCATAAAGAGGCTGCTTTGATCTATTTAACAGAAAATTAGCAAACTCAAGCAATAATTCAAAGGAGATCAGGAACTGAAAGTGTGTCAGGCAGCACTGTGAGAAATATGCTGTATCAAATTCCCAGTGAATCCATTAGATGAATATACAAAATCATAGTGAGCATCAGGGCAAATAGTACAAAACACTTTTGAGAAATGGAACAAAGAATAGAGAGAACACTGGTTCTAGTAATATATTCTTCAGAATCATCATACACTTCTAATGTAAAATATAAAATTCTAAATGGTACATTACATCCATAGATAATACAAAATTTATATACCTTGCAAAAACATTTCTACAAGTACGGACAATACTTGAATAAATGATATCATACAAATTGTTTACTGCCATTGTTCACAAGTAAGAGCTTATTTTAAATGTTTTCTCTGCTTCTTAATGAAAAGTCATGTTTCTTTAAACTTATCAAAAATCTTATTATGTTCCTATATGGTAATTCTATTAATCTAATTTTGGTTTTAATATGCCTCTTTAAGTGAGAAAGGCCCTCTTTTTAACTATATTTAATAAAAATGAATTAATAAATAAAATATGAACTCTGCTTCACATCTGGGCATTGATTTTTCCATATAACATTGCCTCAGATGAGCAGATTCACCCCAAATTAATGCATTCACATATTCTTTGTCAGAATAACACTGGCTGTTTACCTAAAATTGTTCACCAGGAATTGCATGCCTTCCATCAATTGTAGAAAGAAAGGTGTGGAGAGATTTGGCTTCTCTTCTATGAATAAATTTATGCCAGGAAATTACTAAACAAAGGTTTCCTTTCAGTAATTCTAAGTTAGAATAAAATTTATTTTCATAAAATATATTAATCATGTACTCTTGAATGAAAAAGGAACTTACAAAATATGGTATTAGTGCAGTTTATATTTAAAAGTTACTCATAAATATGCATTAATATATATGCATTGAGGAAAGTCAAGGCTGCTATTCAACAAAACGGTGAGTGGCTGGCCCTGGGTGGTGAAATTATGGATAGTTTATGTTTTCTTTTAAAAATATTTTTATTTTTATAGACTTAGGGGTAAAAGTGCAGTTGTTTTACATGGATATATTGCATAGTGATGAATCTGGGCATCTGGTGTACCAATCACCCAAGTAGTGGATATTTTACCCATCCCTTACTTTCCTCCATCTCTCCCACCTTTTAGAGTTTCCAGTATCTATTATTCCATTCTGTATGTCCATATGTACTCATTGCTTAGCTCCTACTTATAAGTGAGAATATGTGGTTTTTGACTTTCTGTTTCTAAGTCATTTCACTAAGAGTGATGGCCTCGAGTTCCATCCATGTTGCTGCAAAAGGCCTGATTTCATTCATTTTTATGGCTGAATAGTATTCCATTGTATATAAATGCCACATTTTTTATCCCATCATCTGCTGATGGACACTTAGGTTGATTCCATGACTTTGTTACTGTCAATAGTGCTGCAATAAATGTAAGAGTGTGGGTGGAATTTTTATACAACTGGGTAGATACCCAGTAGTGGAATTGCTGGACTGAGGTCAAAACCACAATGAGATAGCATCTTTCACCAGCCAGAACAGCTATTATTAAAAACTCAAAAATAACAGATGTTGGTGAGAATGTGGAGAAAAGAGAACACTCATACATGGTTGGTGGGAATGTAAATTAGTTCAACCTGTATGGAAAACAGTATAGATAATTCTCTTTATTTTTTTAATGAACTTTATTTTTAGAGCAGTTTTAAGTTCATAGCAAAATTGATTAGAAGATACAGAGATGTCCCATACACCTCCTACTCCCACACATGCACAGCCTTCCCCATTATCAACAGCCCACAACAGACAGGTACATTTGTTAACATTGATGAACCTACATATCATTGTCACTCAAAGTCCACAGTTTATATTATTCCTTCTGGAGAATTTTCAAATACTGAAACTCCTCTACTAGGAATAAACTAGCATTTTCCTCTCGGCTTTCTATAAATTTAATTATTATTTCAGAAATTAGTCTCTTTACAGGAGAAAATGTTATGAATCATGAAAAGACTATCAAATACATAAGGAAGTGAATGTTATATAACAAATGTACCATCTCCTAAACAACTCCCTGCATTCCCTTCTTGTTGGTAAGTTACAATTATGATAGTTCTGATCATCTGTTTAATTAATTTGGTAGTGAAGCCTCTTACATTTTTTACAACTAGAAAAATCCAGTTTTCCAAAATTAAGGCTCTGGTACATTACATATAATCAACTTCATTCAACTCTTTTTATTTAGTCCAAAAGAAAAATAAGAAAATGTCATTTAAAAAGTAACATACTCAGCTGCTTGTTTGTAGTGCTTCAAATCTTTCTTTAAATTTTTGTTCTCATTTTCCAAAAGCATAAGCTGGGTGTAGACATCTGGAACATTCCCAACAGTTCTAAGTTCAGTCACTCCTTTCTGTATTAACTCATACCTAGGATAAAATCAAACAAAAGGGTTTATGTCATTTCTTTCTGCCAAATTGGCTTAATTTATGTACAATTCAAAAAGTTAAGTCTTAGGGAGTATTATAGTAATTACTTGCAGTGTTACATTTATAAGTTAAAATGTCCAACATTCATGATATATTTTAGAATAAAATATGACTTCTAGGTACCAATGCCATCATGGTATATAAAATATAATAACAGAACATCTCCTATGTTCCAGGCACTGGTCTAGACAACAGTAAAATTGACAAAAATGTCTAAGTCCCTATTTCATGGAGTTTCCATTCTAGTGGTGAGGGTGATGAGTTCTATGAAGTTAAATAAGATGGCGAAAAGATACAGGAAGAGTGAGGTGGAAACATTGATGGCGGTGCTTGTGCTGTTTTACATAGGGTGGGCATGAATGACAAATATGACTGACAAAGTGATACCTGAACAGAGATCTAAAGGAAATGAGGGACTGTATTATGTGGATAGTTGGGAGAGAAGCAGCTAGGCCAGATGGAAAAGTAAATGCAATGGCCCTGAACCAAGGAAGTGCTTGGCAACTACAAGAAACAACAAACAGCCGGGGTACCTGGAGTGCCTGGAACTGAAGCCAACTAAGTGATCAAAGAGAGAGTGGTGAAAGATGAGTCAGGAAAACATCAGGGAGCCATGGTGAGGAAAGCAATTTTACTCTGAATCAGAAGTAAACCATAGGAAGGTTTTGAGACAAGTGACACTGACCAGATTTATGTTTTAAAGGGATTAGTCTAGCAAGCATAGAATCAGAGAGACCAGTTAGCAGGCTATTGCAATAGTCAAGGAGAGAGCATCGTGGCTTGAAGAAAGTTGGTAGCACTGGAGATTATGAGAAGTAAGTACCTTCTAGAAATGCTGTCAAGGTGGGGCTAGCAGGACTATCTGATGGATCAACTGTCAGGTGTTGGTAAATGAGAGAAGGCAAGTGCGACTCCAGGGTTTTAGGCTGAGCAACAGATAGCCATTTATTTACTAAGTGGGGACAAATGCAGGAGGAGCAGAGTGGTTGGAGTAATTAAGGGATTGTTCCATTCGTGTTAAATGTAACATGCCTAGCAGACATTTAAGTGAAAATAAACATTGAGTATACACATTCAGAGTTCCGGAAAAAAGGGTGGGCAATTTGGTAATCAACATTACAGATACTATTTAAAGTCATGAGACTGAAAGAGACCAGCTAGGCAGTGAGAAATGAAAGTAAAGAAAGAAATGAAGAGGTCCTAGGAGTGAGCCATAAACACTTCACTGCTTCCAAGTTGAGGGGAAAAGAAAACACTACCAAAAAAGACTAAGCAAGAGAGGCCTGTGAAATAGAGGGAGAATCTCAGAGTTGTGCCCGGGGGCAAATGAAGAAAGTGTTCTAAAAAGGAAGAAATGAACAAGAGTGACCAATGCTGCCAGGAGTCTGAAAAGAATACTGAGAATCAATCACTGAAGTTGGCACTGTGAACGTCACTATTGAAAAAAAAAGGAAGTTTTCAATAGAGTCATGGGGACAAAAGACAAACTGAGAGGATGACTGAGAGACTAGGAAATGAGGAAGTGGCAACAAACTTTTTTCAAGGAGATATGCTCTAAAGCAGAGCATAGGGAATCAAGATGAACTTAGAAGAAGATACGAAATCTAGGGTGGTTCTTCTCTTCCTTTTTTAAAATGTGAGATATTATTGTACATCTGTATGCTTATGGGAATGACCCAGCAAAGAGGGAAAAAACTGACAATAGAGGTAAAAGAGGGATGATTACAAGAGTAGTATCCTTAAGTCAGTGAGAGGGGCTGGTATCAAGCAGACAAGATGAGAGCTGGCTTCAGGTAACATTAGAGTCTGCAAGAGAAGAGAACACTGGAGGCCAGAGGCAGCGGGGTGGTAAAGAGGGAGGTGGGAGAGGTAGAACTTGTATTTTCTCAGTGAAATAAGAAGCAACATCAGAGAATCAATTGTAGATTGTAAATAATTACAACTTTAATCACTGTGTATGGAAATCAATAAAGTTAAAAAAAAAACAATTTGAACATAGAAAAATATTTCAAGTAATAAAGTTATTAATAAATCCCTACAAAGCTTGCTCTAGATGAGCTAAATACTAGAGCTAAAAATTATAAATTATCAGTAGTTTCATATTATAAATCATAATTTAATAATGTTACATATTTATAAAGTCACATGTTTTGTGTGATATACGATTTTTTCTAAAAAAAAAAAGTGCAAGAGGACCCCCCCATAGAATATCCTGAAGATTAAGATAATTGAATCAATATTCCATCATATTTGCCACAATTTATAAAACAGGAAATAAGTATCAATTGAATCACAAATTCAGTACGTCATCTGTACTAGGAATATGATTTATACTTATCTCAGAAGAGAAGACATAGGGATTGATTGAAGTATTAGACCATAAGCTTTTTCTGACCATAAAAATGATTTTCAGCACCTTGCTTTATTTAATGTGGGAAAACCACTAGAGAAATTTTCTATGAGGAAAAAAGTGATTTAATAGTTTTTCCTCTAAATTAAACACTATAAATAAAATAATATGTGATAAAAGAAGCACAAATCCAAATACAACATTTATTACATAGTATATAATCTCAGAATATTCAAAAATTATCAGGTAAATTTTCTGCCATCCACATAAAAATATGAAAGATGACTTTAGGCTCATTTTTAGATAATAATACAAGTAATTAGGAATCTTAATGCACAAACTACAGAAGTATACTTCTCAATAAAATCTGAATTCTCATACATAATATTTTTGTGGTTTGCTTCAGTTTGCATGTATCTGTTCTTTTGTTTTAAGAAACATCCTGACTTTTTATTTCTTTCTTCTTTTTCACTCACTCTTAAAGTAAGACTGAAAAGTGTTCAGGTGGGAAAGAAGACTGCCATAACTATTAGAGATTTGAAATATAATTTGCTCTCAATGAAATTGCCAATAAATTATCACTAATAAAATTGCATTAATGCTCTTAATATTTACCAGGAGATCCATAAACTACTTAGAATTATGTAGAGATGGAGAATATATATGAATTTCAGGGAGAAAGTGCATAGAAATTTCATAAAATTTTGTCTACATACCAAATGCATTTAAGACCCAATGCCATAAATGATGAATATTATGACAGAATTCCAGTAAACATATAAATGGTGTCAGATGAATAAGGATTATTTTTCCCTCATGGTGGCACCCAAGGCATAGGAGGTAAAAGACAGAGGAAAGGTCATCTAGATTATAATCTCCTTATAAGAAGCCTACAATGAGAACTTTTCCCCCATGTTTTCATAAAGATTTAGGGAAATATATTACCAACATAGACAAAATTATTTTAATTACTGTACAAACTGAGGATGTTAGAATCCCCAGCACGGTCGTGACTATCACTTAGAACCAGACAGTCCCTCTCAGGAAAAATATAGCACAGTTGAAATGTTTATTACTGGCCCCATGATTCTTCAAACCAATATAGAAAATAGGCACAAATTTGGATTCTAAATTAGTATTTTCTTAAGTCGTTTTAGTATCCAGCCAAACCAAAAGGCACCTTTATTAATTTTTTCCAAGATTCTCTTGTATAATTGCACAATATAGCCTTGTGGTTAGGAGACTGGTCTTAAGATCAGTATGTTCCTAGGTTGACTCTGCCACTTACTGGCTATGACTTGGTGACACTCACTGAGGAGACTTCCTAATCTCCCTATCCCCTTTCCTCATCCCTAAAATAGAAATACGGCTGTGGCTACCTGCTCGATACAGTTGTTGGGAGAAGTAAATGAAATAATGCATGAGAATATACTATATCAATAAAAATGATACAAAGTACATTTCTGAGTAATAAGCCTAAGCCTTCACCCTCTTAAATATTTTTAAATCCCTCATATTTAATAAACATGATATTTTGTTTTAAAAATTTTAATTAAATACTCACCTAAAAGGTTGCCTTAATATCATAGTACATAAATCTGTGCAGATGTATTTACAGTGGTCAAATTTATCATAATTTAACACAGCAAAAATTAGCTTTTGCTAACTTTTATGTTATGTAGAAGAGTCACTACATTCCTGTGTTTAACTTAATAATGACTGGGGAAAAATATTCTGATGGGACATATAACTAGAAGCCAAGACCTCACCAATTGAAGAAACAGCAATAAGATTAAATTACAAAGGAACAAATATTTGCGTAGTGTTCACTGGGAGTCATTAATGTATACACAACACCACACATATTTCCTGTACATACTTGGGCAACATAAGGGCTATATCAAGGGTAATTTTAATTCTAGGCTCTGGCTTTAAAACTTAACCATCCCCAGAAAGTTGTAACTGTACTGCTCACATTTAAGTGATTAAATGTTATGACAAATTTTATTGTCTAAAAGCTGTAAAATATATTTCATGCAAATTAATGAAATATACTCTTAATTTGCAAACTCTTCCATTATTACAAAAAATTAAATTAGTAATTAAGTGTCATAAATAATTGTACTATTACTTTTGATAGCATTTTCATTACCACCCTACCTTCAGTGAAATGGTGCGAACAGGCCAAACTGGAAAGAACCAAGTGTTGAATAGGAAGTAAAAAGGTGAAGAAAGAAAAAAAATTTAAACTTTGTTTTCAAAACATTGGCTGGAAAGGGAAAAACGGTTTAAAAAGAAGTGGTAGTGAAAGGCAAAAAAAGAGTAGGAATGTATCTTTAGGGTGAGTAGTTCTGACAATGTTAATAGGGGAACAGTCAGTGTAGGAAGACAGATGGATGACATATGCTCAGGTACAGGTACTGGAATTAGATTACCATATTTTCTCCATTTTAATTTCTTCTTTAATTTCTCCCCCCTGAGAAATTATTGTTGTCCATTGATAATTCTAATAGGCATACAAATAGAATTGAAGTATTGACTAAACCCGCAATGAAAATTTTTCGTGGTTCATAGAACAAATTCCTACTACATTCTGGCAACTCTTTTCTGTAAAGGGTCAGAGAATAAATATTTTAGAATTTGCAAAACTATCTTTACAGGCCACATCGCCCCTGTTGTGACTAATTAACTTTGCTTTTACAGAGTGAAAGTAGCCATATACGATACCTAAAGAAAGGTCATGTCTGTGTTTCAATAAGATTTTATTTTAAAAATCAGGAGGCAGGCTAGATCTGGCCCAAGGATCTTAGTTTTCTAACCCTGGATTTAAAGGATTCATTGCATTTTCCGCTTGAGGAGTGAAAGAACCTATGTCAAATTTTACTGCCCAGTGTTTTGTTTGTTTGCTTATTTTAACAAACTAACAAAGGAAAATCTCTGTTTGGTCATGTTTTGAAAGATTAAGTGAATTCATAGCAATTATATATTCTAAGTGTTTTCTCCTGTGGTAAAAATGATAAAAAATAATACATTTAATTTTTCTATAATTTTACTATGTAGAATAAGTAAAGTTTTCTAATCAAAATAAAAAATGTTTCATATGAAATAAGGTATTCAATACAATGTAATCTCATTGCAAACTGGCAGCTAGGGATAAGGATAAAATTACCTGAACCACAATATTCTAAACTCATAAAGAGATACGTTATACCAATTTTATCTTATGACTAGTATGCCTAGCTTGGGAAGACTTTAAATCCTAATACTAACACTAATCTTAGTTTCCTGAAGTTTCATCTCATGAATTCAAATTGCTAAATCTAAAAGGAAAATATGACAATAGTCACCAGATTGTTAACAGTATATTTGGATCCACACTATTCTAAGACAATCATTTTACACTTTGGACTGGCCCAACATATAAGCATCACATGTCCTAACACACATTGTTGGAAGACAGGAAGTTAAATGAATCATATTAATCTTTCACTTTATTAGCACTGTAAATTAATCATCTACCTACTTTTACAAAAAATACATTTTCTAGAACATTTGTAATTATATTTCTTAGGGATATTTTTATTAAAAATTATTTAAAATAATTCACACAATTTCTAAATTTAAGAGAAGCAGCATTATTTTTCTTCCACTGAACTTTGTTTTTCTTAGACGCTTAATGAAAAATAATTCTCATAAAATTTATTAATGTTAGATGTGCAATTTAAAATAATGAAACTGATTGCTCTTACGGGAATGTTATCAGAAGATGAGAACCAAAAAAAGCAAACAATAAAAATTTATACCACAGCTGGATGAGTAAAAATTGCAAATTATCCATACATTGCAAATTTATTTAAAATTAGGAATTAGTCCTAATTATAAACATCTTTAGATATATTAATCCCCTTTTCTAGAATATGCAATAGCTATTAAAGTTCAAATATATTTTCGTATCTAATCATTTAATAAATTTATTTAAACAATGTCAGGAAATGGAAAATATGCCTGGTGACATTATTATTGTACAAAGGAATAAAGGTACAAAGGGTACACCTGCTGATTTTCATAACTAGTTATTAAAATTTTCAATTATAACAAGAAAATCTTGTGTTTAAGTGATATTCAAAACACAATTCCACTTACTTCTAAATGAAGAATATTCATAGAAATATAATTAATCAGCTATGTGAGTAGAAAAAGACAAGCCATTACACTATAAATAAAACAAGCAAGTAAAGCAGTACTGTTTAGCATGATGTCTAAATACAGGAAATACTCTCAATAATTATTCAAAAATACTAGGAAATGTTTTCATAAAGTATCTTTGTGTTTTATAACTCCAGGAGATATTCAAGTTTCTTGATTTTTTGAAAATTACTTAAACTTAAATATTTGGGAAAGATGTTTAATAAAAATTTCTTTGCAATTGCTATTCTCGAGGGGGGGTGTGTGTGTGTGTGTGTTGTGGTTTCAGGGCTGGAGATGGGAAAAGTTTCTAGTCATTTTTCATAGGCTGAGTCATTTCAAAGTCAAGACATTTAAAAGTGTACAAGTTAAATGTTAGAATTTTAAGAGAACTATTTATCTACATAATTGTTTACCATTCAGACTGAAAGCAATCAAGAGTTCTGGTCATTCCCATTTTGATCAAGAAATTGCAGAGAAAGTCTTCTATTACTTCAGGTACTGCAGGCTTTGAAGGAAGAACTGTTTTCCGTTCCTGAAATTTAAATGTGCATTTATTTATTTTGAAAACATCAGAGCATTAATTAACGATATAGATAAGACTTCAACTCATTCATTCATCCATTCATTTTTTTTCAACAACGTTTGTTGACTGTTATATGCCAGGAACCATTAATATTTTAATTACTGGGGATAAAGCAGATGAAAGCAAACAGATCTCTATCCTCATATCTATTAGTCAAGTGGATGGAGACAGAATATGAGTAACTAAATAAAAAACATATACTATTATAGATGATACTAAGTACCTTGGGGTGGGGAGAAAGTAGAGGATTTAAGATAGAACCAGGTGTAGGACAAGTATTCATGTGAAGCTGGGTTGCTACGTATTTAGGGTGGTGAAGATGTCACTGATAAAACTGTTATCTTAGCATAAATCTAGACAAAGAGGCAGAATGTCTTATGTTCTGGTTTGTATCTGCATCAGTAAGTGCAAAGGCCCTGCAGCAGGAGTGTGACTGGATTGCCTAAAGGATAGTAAGAAGGTAGGTTTGCCCTTTCAATAGCACATAGCATGTTAACCAAAAAAAAGAAAAAAGAATGCATGGACCTTTTAATCCTTTTAATTATCATTTAAAAAGAAATATAATAATTTTAGTACCATGACTTTTAGAAACACTATGGAGGAAATAATTACTAACAAAAGGAGCTTACACTACTATTCCATATGGAAGTCAGTCAGTCTATCAACTAGATCAGGAGTTAGCTAACAGTTCTTATAAATAGTTTGTTAGAGCACAGCATGCCCATGCCCATTTGTTTACATATTATGTTTGGATGCATTTGCACTACATGAGACAGTTGACTAGTAGCCACAGAGTCCTTATGGCCCTCAAAACCTAAAGTACAAGTTGAGCAATCCCTAATCCAAAAATCCAAAATCTGAAATGCTCCAATAGCCACAAATTTTGAAGCACCAACGTGACACCACAGGTAAAAATTTCCACATGCAAGTACTTAACACAAACTTTGTTTTATATACAAAATTATTTAAAATACTGTATAAAATTACCTTCAGGCTATGTGTAAAAGGTGTATATGAAACATAAATGAATTTCATGTTTAGAACTGGGTCCCAGTCCCAAGAGATCTTAGTGTATATGTGAAACTAAATAATCCAAACCTAAAGCTTTTGGAACTTTATATTTATTAAGGCTTGAGAGGAATGGGATTATGTGGCCTGAGCCACATAGCATGCAGCTGCAACTTCTGCTTTTTTGATTATAGATTAAATGTCTTCATTATTGTCCTAAAAATGATTAGGAAAGATGGAATACCACCAGAGATCAGACCCCTTTAGAACACTGCCCTTCCTTGCAAAATGTCGAAGCAATCTTCCTTGGAATGCAGCAAGCTGTAATCAATCAAATCGTTACAAACTACGTAATGATCTTGTAAGGAAAATGTTGCAACCCTGTTAACTTCTGTTTCTGCCTATATAAGTGAAAACTTAACTTCCCCACTTTGGAATGCTCACTCATTCTATTGGAGACTGTGTTTCCCAGGTGGCTATCCTCAAGCTTTGCACTTGAATAACACTAAACCATATTTTCCAAATGTCATTATCATTGATACATATTTCCAAATATTCCAATATCTGAAAAAAAAATCCAAAATCTGAAATACTCTGGTCCTAAGCCTTTTGGATAAAAGATACTCAAACTGTATGTAGTACTCTGACAGAACATCTTAGCAGACGTAAAACTAGAAAATGAAGACATTTCAGCAATCAACAAATGAAACTGGTACAGCCATAAAAACTATCATATCATGTAAGTCAGGTACAAAATAAATCAAATAATTGGTAGTTTCCTAAAAATACCAAGGAATAGGGAATACTAATTCTATTTTACAGAATGAAGTGCTGCTCAATAAAAATAAAATTAAAAAAAAAAAAGAATCATCATCTCTTGAGTGCTCTCATTTTCTTCATATTGGCAAGAAGTCACTAATTTGTTTGCTGACCATTTGAATAAGCAGATCTATTCTCACCCACAGAAACTCAGCAGCAAGTTTTCCTTTCGCCTTCTCTTTCCCAAGCTGGTAATGGTTATATAACAGGTTACACAGAATATACAGAATGTTTACATAGAAATCCAATGAAGAAAGAGGATCTTTGCTACCCCAAAAATTCTTTCCAAAAGTGCTATATATAATTCAACACTGATGTTTATTACTGATAGCTGCTATGATATTCACAATAGTGGTGAGATGAGGCAAATTTGGGGGCTACAGAAAATCCTGACAAATGGGTAGAGTGTAAAATTACATTTGTAAAGTTCAAGCAGAATAATTTGGAAGGAGGCAGTACAAGATGGCTGAATAGAAGCCTCCGATCATTAACCCTGCAGGAACACCAAACTGAAGAAGTATTCACACAAAAAGGCAACTTCATAAGAACCAAAAATCAAGTGAGTAATCACAATACCAGGCTTTAACTTCATATCACTGAAAGAGGCACTGAAGAAGGCAGAAAAGACAGTCTGGAGTTGCTGACACCACACCTCCCCCATACCCTGGCAGTGGCCAAGTGGCATGGAGATAAAATCTCTGTCCTGTGGGAGGAAGACTTCAGTGATTATGGAATCTTTTACATTAGAAAATAGTGCTGCATCATCATGGCAGAAAGCAACACCAGGCAGAACTCAGCCATCACCCACAGAGGGAGCATTTAAACCAGCCTTAGCAAGAGGGGATTTGCCCATCCCAGCAGTCAGAACCTGAGTTCCAGAAAGCCTCACCACCACGGGCTAAAGGGTTCTGGGGTACTAAATAAACTTGAAAGGCAGTCTACACCACAAAGACTGTAATTCTTTGGGAAATTCTTATGCTATGCTGGGCTCAGAGCCAGTGGACTTAAGGAGCACATGACTTAGTGAGATAACAGCCAGGGCAATCAAGTGAGGCTTGTGCCACACCTCCCCTGACCCCGGGCAGTGCAGCTCACAACTCCAGGAGAGACTCCTTCCTTCCACTTGAGGAGAGAAGAGTAAAGAGAACTTTGTCTTGCAATATAGATGCCAGCTCAGCAACAGTAGGGTAGGGCACCAAGCAGGGTCCTGAGGCCTCCATTCTAGGCCCTAGCTCCCAGACAACATTTCTAGAAACTCCTTGAGCCAAAAGGGAACCCACCAACTTGAAAGGAAGAACCCAGTCCAGGCAGGATTTATGACTTGCTGACTAAAGAGTCCTTGGGTCCTAAATAATCAGCAACAGTAGCCAGGCACTACTTGCCGTGGGTCGTGAATGAGACTCAAGAGACAAGCTGGCTTCAGGTGTGAACTAGCACATACAGAGAGGTGTGGTGGCCATGGGAAGAGATTCTTTCTGCTTGAGAAAAAGAAATGAAAGAGTAAAGGAGACTTTCTTTTAAAGATTAAGAACCAGCTTGGCCCTAGTTGGGTAGAACACCAAGCGGGCCCTTTGAGGTTCCTGAATCCAGGCTTTTGCATTCAAATGGAATTTCTGGACCTGCCCTGGGCCAGAGGGCAGACTACTGTCCTGAAGGGAGAGTTCCAGGTTTGGCAGCTTCAACCACAAGCTGACTGAAGAGTCCTTGGCCCTTGAGTGAACATTGGTGGTAGCCAGGCTGTATTTGCAATGGGCCCACGCTGGTGGTAGACTTCCCTGATTGTGGAAAGGGGAGAGTGGGAAGAACTTTGTCTTGAGGGTTGGGAGCTAGTTCAGCTGCAGTAGAATACAGCACCAGGTAGATTCTTAAGATTAACAAATCAGGCACTGGCTCCTAGACAGCATCTCTGAATGCACCTAGGCTGGGTGAAACTTGCCACTCTGAAGGAAAGAACACAAGCCTGGCCACCTGCTGACTGTAGAGCCTTAGGGCCTTGAGTGAACAAAGGAGTTACCCAGGCAGTGATTTACAGTGAATGGGCCTTGGGGAAGACTCAGTGCTGTGCTGGCTTCAGGTCAGACCCAGCACAGTCTCAGTGGTAGTGACCACAGGGGTGGCTTCTATCCACCCTGCTCCAGCTCCAGGCAGCTCTACACAGAGAGGGAAACACCCATGGTTTGGGGGGAAGTAAAGGAAAAGTCTGTACCTGGTAATCTAGAGAATTCTTCCTGATCTTATCCAAGACAACTTAGCCAGTACCTCTAAAAGACTGCAAAAGCCACAACATTACTGAGATTGGAGTGACCCCTAATGAACATATAGCAGCAGTGACCAAAAACTTAGATCACAACACCCAAGTCCCCTCAAATACCTGGAATGCCTTCCCAAGAAGGATGTGGAGCCCCGAATGTGAAGACTACAATAAAATACCTAACTCTTCAATACCTAGACAATGATGAACATCCACAAGCATCCACAGCATTTCCATCCAGGAAAACATGACCTCACCAAACAAACTAAATAAGGTACCAAAGACCAATTGTGGAGAGACAGAGATGTGCAACCTTTCAGACAGATAATTTAAAATAGTTGTTTTGAGGAAACTCAAAGAAATTCAAGATACCACAGAGAAGGAATTAATAATCCTATCAGACAAATTTAATGAAGAGACTGAAAAAAATTAAAAAGAATCAAGCAGAAATTCTGGAGTTGAAAATTCAACTGACAAACTGAAGAATGCATAAAAGCCTCCTGCCAACAGAATTGACCAAGCAGAATAAAGTATTAGTGGGCTTAAAGACAGGCTATTTGAAAATACAGTCAGAGAAAGAAAAAAGAGTAAAACAGAATGAAACATGCCTATGAGATCTAAAAAAATAGCCTCAAAAGGGCAAATCTAAGAGTTATTGGCCTTAAAGAAAAGGTAGAGGCAGGGATGGAGTAAGAGGGAGGGAGGTAAACAGGAGGCAAACAGGAGGTAGAGAAAGACATAGGGGTAGAAAGTTTATTCAAAGGGATAACATCAGAGAACATACCAAACCTAGAAAAGATATCAGTATTCAAGTACAAGAAGATTATAGAAAATCAAGCAGATTTAATCCAAAGAAGACTACTTCAAAGCA